CCTGCAAAAAGCTTTTGTTTACGCGACTCTGACAGCGATTTCGGACGAGTTTTCCGCTGACGTCGCGCCAATAACCTCTACAGTGGACACTGCTGCATGTATGTACACAGCCGCTTCATATCAATCCCTTCGCTTCATATTGTACTTCGCAAATGAAGCGATACGAGCATCAGCATCGGTCGGACATTTGTGGGCGGGCGGACGCGGTGGGCGTCCAGCTTGATAGCTGACTGAGCGCTATAAGGGTAGCTCCTTAGAAAAAATGCCACGCAGCACCTGCTTAGGGACGCCGAATTCTGTACTGCTTAACGTATTGTCCTACACTTTTTTGGGATTTATCGTGCCACTTGCCTTTAATCTTCATAAAGCAATCTTGGCACTTCATTCACTCAACCAAACGCTTCGCTTGGCATACATTCTTCCACATTACTCCTTCACTCTCTTCAATGCATTTCCTTATGTCTCCCCACATGATAATATTCGTTCGTCACGACGGCTTGGGCTTGTGAACACAACGAGCCAACCCTACATCTTATAGAACTACAAACTCGTTACCATTCCGCCTCTGGCCAGGGCTTTTGGAACGAGATAGCTCAATTTAGCCATTCCGTCACTCCAAGAACAATCCATCGTCGTCGCCGTCGCCTCGCTCACCTGCAAACGAATTTCTTGTTCTCAATCTAACTACTGCCACTTTTCTCATTACACACAAACTGTTTGAGATCGATCATTTCGAACAAGCCACAGTCGTCTTCCACCTCAGCCATTGCGGACTGCAAGTCAGCGTCAATGACGACCACGCTTTGCTGAAAATCGTATTTTGATGGAACTAATCAATCAAACATGATCTTCACAGCTTCCTTTCCCGAGCCCTAACGACACACATTGCTGGCGATTATCATAATTAATTATTAGTACCGAATATCATTACTAAGGTGACGATCCAATAAACGCTGCAAACCTGCTCTTGTTCAATCGCAGTCGACAGCTGTGGTTGTGAGTCCCCCTTCAGCTCGTTCTCCCTAATTTCCCCTTCCAGTTCGTCCAGCAAGCTTCTATCACATGCATACCAATCACTTGAACAGCAGTACATTATGAGAAGTATAGTAGTTTTCGCTTCAGACGTTGGGTCACGTCACGAGGGCTGGTTTTAGCGCGGCACCAGCCCGTTCTCACTAATTGTTGTCGTTTGGTGCTTCAATAAGTGGTGGAGAACGGGATGGCGGCGCGTTGAATCGAGTCCCCTGACACGCCCCAGCGTCTGAAGCGAAAATGACTGTAAGTGAAACACCCAAAAAATTGTTTAAGGCATGAATGCTGTGGAAAGGTACCACAGGAAGTAGAGGCTCTGCGCCACATTTATGAGTTAGTATCTCAATGAAACAAGTAAAGTTTCGTGGGTTTAATCCG